ATTAAAATATACCTTGAACTTTGCTAGAAGAATCATATATACCCCTAAATAATTTTTAAGAAAATAAAAAATAAAAAATATAAATTTAAAACTAAGTTTTTCACTTCCATTAAATGAAGGGTCTATGTGAGCTAATTTTGTAACGGTAGGGGTACATGTGAGCCGTTTGTATAACGGTAAGGGTATATATGAGCCACTTTCATAACGAGGGGCATATCAGCTCCAAATGACAAAGTTGAGGGGTATATCAGGCCCTTTTCCCTTTTGGAAAAGATAGATGAGCAAAATTGGTGCAGATCATTAAAATAGTAATTGCTTGGTTTTTATGAAGCATTAAAATAGCAATAATTATGAAATAGCAGAAAGAAAATAGCAGCTTATTTATTTGAGAAATACTGCCTAATTCCACAATCAATTAATTTTCCTTCAAAACGAGATCCAAGCAACTGTATTGAACAGATTATTTTTCGTACATCAAATTTTCAGATCACTTCTTCAACCTCAATCACATAAAACTCAGCCTATAAGTATTCAGCCAACAGGGACACGCTACAAAGAAAATATGGGGGGTAAATACAAGGGATAAAAGAAGAAAGGGAGAGGTTACAAACATAAAGGCTGGTTATACCTTCCTAAATCATTGGGCTTCAAAGAATAACAGTGCTAATTGAGAAACTAGCTAAGTTCTAAGTTTTGATCATGCTTAATTTTGGATCTGAAACAAGCCTGGCATTTTTAACATGTCCTACTGAAACCACTCAATGACCCATGGAAGAACCAACGCCTATAAGTCATGAAGTGAAAAAGCAACAAGGTATTCCAACACAAATGAAGTTTCTTGCAGCAGGTGCTGAGGCATGGAAGTAGAAAATGAAATAAAAAGAAAGTAACACACCTGTTCAACAGTTTTATTCAATGCCCAGTTGAAAGCAGGCTGGTCATTAGATTTCTTTGCTCTGGACCATGGTTGAATCTGCATTTCCTCAATCCACTTTTTCATAATGAGTTTTGCTCCATCGGTGGGTCGCGCATAGATCATGCAGCTACAGATGTAAGGCCGGCCCTTCTTCCCTGGAGGTGGCAGACCATGAGAGTGATTCAGAGGTTTTACCTGGTGTTCCAAAAGAAAGGAAGAGAGCAGACTTTTCATCACTAACAATCCAATCCACAATGTCAAGATAATAAATATAAATTGATGGAACCAAATAAAATTATCTTTACTACCAGAGAATAACCTATCTTCCAAGTAAAAAAAGAGAGTAGAAGTTAAAACTTAAAAGAAAAAGGAAATAGTAGTTTGCCACAATGCTTAAATCAGATAATTTTAGAGTGAACCAAGAAGATGCAAGATAAGAACTTCCACCACAATAAATTAAGCCAGTACATTCAATCATGCACCATAACATTCTTAATTTAGCTTCTCAAACAATTCTTTCTCAAAAAAAAAAAAAAAAACCTTTCTCAAAAAAAACTTCCCAACCATTGGACTTATCGAAACTATACAAGGAAAAGTTAAAGTATTTGCATCCTTTTCAGCACTCACCGCAGCCATGTCATCCATGAAGTATATATCATGCTTTCCTTCCAAATATGGAAATGGATCCCCTAACCAAACCATATCAACATCATTGTACATGACATTATAACCAAGCTCCAAAATTTGCAGAAGATGCCGAGGCCTTCTGGACGTAAAATTGAAGAATCCCTAAAAGAATTGAACCATCAATGTTATTTCAGCAGAAATGAAATAACTAACTCAAGCAAGGACAACATCCCAGAAAGCTCTTGTTCCCTCTTTAATCAAAAGGGTTTCCTCTCTAAATCAAACTACAAGGTTACAATTCAGGATAGTTAAAGACGGATAGTGAAGGATCAACATAAACGCATTCATGATTATTATTGATATTCTCAAGCTTCAATCATCAGCACTCCAATTTTAAGGCATTACTAGCTGAATAATGAAGAATGATAATTGCAAGAATCTTGTCACTCTAAAATACATTCTACCTACAAAACTGCAAGTATCAAAATATGGAGGGGGAAAAGGCATTATGCAGTAACTCTACATGATTTTTTAAATTTATTTTTAAGAAAAGCTTAAATAAACATGATAAATAATGCCAAGCTGCTACAATCAAATTCCAATTATCTATTTGCACATTCGCTCACAGACAAACAATGGAAAAACAGTGGGAAATACAACAAAATCAGCTGTAAATCAATCAATCAACAATGTCCAAACTCAAATTAGTTGAGGTTTGCCAATATGCATCCTCTATATAATCTGCTTAATTTGAGCCCATTCTAATCCAATTCTAAGTAAAGTAGTAAACAATATATTCTTTTAGAGGCTCTCTAAACACAACAAACCCAAATGTAAATCAATCAACTACCTGCTACTCAAAATGTGTACTCTATTCGGTCCTTCATTACGAATACTGTCAAGTAATTTATTATTATTTTTGTGTATAAGGGGTTCTTTAAACACAATAAAACCCAAATGCAAAAATCTCCTAAAAAAAGGTACCTGAGATCCAAACTTATGAGCAGCCTGGGATTCCAAAACAGGAGGAATGATCACAGCATGACCAGGCCACCTTTCATTAACCTTAAACAAAGTAGCATAGTCCTCAGCAATGACAAGCACTTTGTCATGATGTTTCTGCCTCACAATACTAATCAACCAGTTATTCAAGAAGGGTAAGTAAGCTTCACTGACAATACAGACTATAAGGGTATTATTCTTGGCCACAAAGGCTGCAGCTTTAGACAAGGAATAGTCACGCCACTTGGATTCAAAAGGACTAGGATTTGAAGTGTAGGACAGAAACCCATTTTGAGGAAACTGAATATATGGATAGAAAACTCCGAGAATTACCAAAAGAGAAAGAAGGAGCAAAAGGGTTGTGCGACTTTGAAGAAATGAAGTGGATTTTTGGGAAGTTTGAGAAGATGGTGGGGATAATGGATTTGGGTCTGTGAGAGGATTGTGAAGAGGTCTTTGATGTAAAGACGCTGATGACATTGTTGCTAGATTTGGCAAAACTGAATCCAAGAATATGATGAATTGCGAGATACGAGCTAGCAAAAAGGGGAAGTTAGCACTGTGATATTCAATTTCCAAAGAAGGAACTTGGCGAAATTCTATAGATCAGACGCAGATCTCAGAAGGGATTGTTTGAAAACAAATTGCACTATGAACCGGATCCCACACTAGTTGAGTTTAATTTCTTGGTGCTGGCTCAAAGCCTCAAATGAAAAAAAAGATTTGTGTCTTTCCTTGAAAAATACTTTTTTATTTTCAAGAGTAGAAGGGTGTGCCAGTGACGGTGAGTGCCAAAGGAGGAAGAGAAAAAATTTTAAAAAAATATTTTAGAGTTAACTGCGAAAAACCTACTTAAACTATTATATTTTTCATGAATTTCATAATTTAACTATTCATTATTCTATTTATCTACATAAATGGAATAATTTTTTTTTCCTGAAGTTCATCATCAACTATTACAATATGTTGAATCTGCCTACACATGCTTGTTGTCTATTTCCAAAGTAGTGACAATACACATCTATAAAAGAAATAATCGATAGTTAAAGTATGAAACTCACAAAAAAAATAGAGTAGTTGAGATGTTTTTTTTTTTTAATTTGCCATTTAACCCAATATTTTATGGAATTCTTGTTTTGTTTGATACTTCAATCAGATTTTATAGATAGAAGTTTTCAGTTCAATGCTGTCTCGAGGTATTATATAAAAGAGATTAGTTCTATATACACTGATATAAATATATTCTATATTTTCCTCCATCGGTTTGTTTAAATAGTCTTGGTATGCAAAAAGTTCAGTTTTCGCATAATCAATCTCATTTTTATAACAATTAACTATAGTTATTATTAGGTGATGTTTACATTACATGTATAATCAGATAGAACTGCGACAAAATAATTACGTCTCAGTTCCAAAGAAATGAAGATGAAAAATTTAAATCCTCATTTATCTATTTAAATAAATACATAAGCTTTCGAGAAAATAACAAATACTCTATAAATATGTTTTTATGTTATTTTTATATGGAAAAGATTTTTTAAAGAACTAATCGGAATTTTTCCCACGAGATCATCCAAACGGGAGTGATATGCAACGGTTGAGGATTTGATCACTCAGCTTAAGAATACTGGACAATGCAGCTAGAGAATTATTTTTCCAATAATTTGTTCTACAAGAAGACAGATATTAACATCTTTTTTACCTTACAAATATACACACTGCTCTTTATTGATTCTCAATCCAAACAAATAGCCTATGATTGCGATACTAGTGAATGATCCTAAAAATAGTTGTTCTCCAGGTGATGGCTTAGTACAACTCTTTTACATATGGAAAGTTAGATGGATGCACCTCCTGCTCTCATTTTAGCCTAGATTACGACACAGCACTGGTCTTCAACTTAGTTGTCTTGTGCTTGACAAAGAAAGCGGAGAGCATACTCCTGCTGCGATTAGGTGCACGGATAATATCCCGCCTTGGATTATCAAATGATCTGAATGGTGTTAGAGGTTTGCTACCCTCCAGGGTACCCTGCAAAGGCGAAAATTCATTTGAGAGAAGAAAGCAATTCAGACGTGCAATCGCGGTTTGGTCCTATTATATGCTCCACAAGCAAAGTACGTAACTTCAAACAAACTTTAAGACCAAACAAGGTTCAATATTAATGATGCAATACAAACCAAAATTTCAGAACATACAAGATATTTATATATAAAATTAGACCACAAAAAGAGAAGAGGCAAACTGTCTACGCATATAGACAGACACTCTCACAAATGTTTTACATCAAAAGAGATGAAACAAAATGGCAGACCACAAAAAGTGCATACTTTACCTCTTGGAATTAGTTTTTTTTGGAGAGATGAAACTAACTAATTGAAACATTGTTAATTGTTAAGTTGTCTGATTGATTAACAAGTATACTGGCAGATTGCAAAACTTTGACTAAATTACATGGATGCTCATATTTCAATGATCTTATGATCCTCAGATAGCAATGTTAAACAATGATACTCACGTCTATATATTCACTAAGTTGTCTAATACTCTCCCCACTGAATTATATTTCCTATTCTGAAATTCCACAGTTATCGCATATCAAGGTAGATAAAGAAAAGTTATAGTGAAGTGGAAAAAGTTGGGCCCATTAACTTCCTCTAGAAAATAATACATTGTATAACAAGCACACATATCTTTTAAATTATTGGTCATATTGTTTGTTGGTTGGTAAAAATACTTATTTGATTATAAAGGCAAACCGCAGACTGGAAGTAAATAAAAATGACAACTGTGAGAATAAATGTATATTCATGAAATAATTTGTATATTCTTTCTCTAGTTTTAGTTTTCCACCCTTCAAGTGATGCTTTTAAAAAAAGGGGAAGGATGAACCTGGGTTAAAATCCAGATACCTCTACGATGAATCAAACTAAACCCTTCTGTTCACCTGTCATGCAATGCTGTCGAGGGAAATGAAAAGGAGGAAGAACCAACAAAATTACAGATTTAAATAGCTAAAGAAAGAAAGAACAAAATCCCTGGTCCCCTCTATATCCCCCACAAGGGGAACAAGCCAAACCAAATGTTTGGAGAAAAAACAGAAATTTTAACACATATATAAATATCAGTTCTGACCACTGCTTAGAGCCTTCAAAGGAGAATTTACTTATGTAGGTGTAAAATTTTCTGAACAAACTTTGAGCTCAACATTCAAGATCATGCTGCCTATAGCATCATAGACATTTTGGTTAGACCCCTTTGTTAATTGCATTGCCAATGTTAGACGAATAACATGTGATCACTCACTTGATATGTAAGCAAATAGACAACAGTCGAAGTAAACAGAAAGATAAAAAGAAAGCTGAAATTGATACATTTTGTTACTACTAGCACAAAATTTATGCAATGACAGCTATGATCATCATCAATCTTCCTCTATTACTTACGGAAGTATAGGAAGTGGATCAACATCAGTTTCTTCTAAACCACTCGTTAAGTACTATAGGAGGTAAATAATCAGTGAAAGATGGGCAAGTTGATGTGTCTGATAACAGGATTGACAGCTATATAAAGATGTTCTATAAGCACCTGACATATAACACACTTGGTGCAGTTTCGGGACAGATAGCATGTAATATAAGGAACAGATAGCATAATATATTTATTTTGAGATAGATACAGATAGTATATGGAACTGTTCTTCCAATTAATGCATTTGGCATTACCTGCCGTGTGACCCCCAATGTTTGCATAGCTAGACTTGATGCAGGACCAACATTGGGTGACGGAGGACGGGCTACATATGATTTCTTCCGGGTATTCTCTTCATCTGCTCAAATGAAAATTGACAGTGAGAAGCCATGAGTCTAACACACCATTACAGAAAGAGAAAGTGAACATGGAACCTTCACGTACCTAACAAGTTGAACGCGGCAGATGCTTTTTCAGAAACTTTTGCTTCCTCAGGACTGCAAATGTAAAGAAAAATCAGTTTTCTACAACCTCTACAAATTATTTGAGAATATTATCCAGAGAAAATGATAGTAATCTCCTTTTCAAAGCTTCAAGATCAATAGCACCACTAACCTCATAAAAGTACGTGAATTCCCTTTCAATGTCGATTTGGTTTCTGTTGCCAGATGCCAAGAGAGAGTTTTTGCAGCAGGAGTACCTAGTTTAGGAAATATGATAAGAACGACGAGATACAATGCCAAAGAGAATATGAGAACGAGAGAGTATCATCAAGAAGTCAGGCCACCTGAAGGATAAAGGCGGGGTCTTGCTTGTAAATGTTGCCTTGAATCCATCTTAACTTGAGGGCTGAAGTGCACCTTCTTTCCAGCAGAATCTAATTGTGCATCAATCATGAGAGAGAGAGAGAGAAATGTGCAAGTCAGGCAAAAAGGATGAGGACACAACCGCAGAAAACAGAAAGAGCTTTAACAAAAATGCAATAAGGATTAAAAAGTAGCCGTACTTGGCAAAATATAATGCTTGTGATGCCTTGGGATGATGGCTAATAGCTGCTGCTGCCTGAGACCTTCTTTCTCAGTGTATGTTTTGCATGTCAGAAGTCGCTGAAATAAAAAAGCTAAGTTCCGTTCTATCCTGTTTAATTCTCAAATAGACAATTTGTATTAGGGAAAGTTCCAGAAGTTACCTGATCAAGACAAGTGACCTTTAGCTCCATGGCTGTGACATCCAATGTTTGTTGCTCAAGCAAGTCGGTTAACTTATAAGCAACAGTTCCCAGGTGGTCGACAGCATTGACAAGAGCTCTTACAGCATAGTCTTTCAGGTTATCAAGAACCCTGAAAACGAGTAGTATTAGAGTATGAGCATGAAGTAGCAACGAAAGAATACAGCATGACCAAAAATAAAAGTTACCAGCATTTAGGCGATTGCCCTAAGCATAGGAAAGATTCTTGCTGAGAAGGCTAAAAGAGCCCGTACAGCCAAGGATCAAAGAGCCTATGCACATAATTTGTTTCTACCTACTTTTGGTATGACTTCTGTAAAACCAAGAAGAAGCATGAAAAATTGACTGGAAAATATTATGTTCATGGCAATACTCTTACATTTGTTTCTGCTCATTTTGAAGATAAGACTTTTCACAATATTCTGCAGCAGAATAGAGTTGCGGCCTCAAGTTCTTGAGCTCCTGAGATATGAGACAGGCAACACGTGATCATTGAGTTAGAACAAAGTTCTTGCAAAGGTTGACAAATGGTTAATATGGAAACAGCCTCTAGCAAAAATGCAAGGTAAGGCTGCATACAATTGACCCAATGTGATCCGGCCCTTTCGTGAACCCCATGCATAGCAGGAGCTTAGTGCATCGGGCTAACCTATATTATGACTACCAATCAATCACTTATCAGAATAGTATCAATATCAATCAACCAAAAAGTCCTCAATCCTAAAAAAGAAGAAGTTGGTTTGCCAGTTCTATGAACCCATTCATTCTATTTAAGCCCATTTTTTAACATGTCCCAATGAATTCAAAAGATGACCATAGCTGTAGGAAATACTAGCCATCAACCTACCACAACCCTCATCTTTTAGCCTAACTTTGAACCAGCTAAGCTTTGCAAAATGGTTGTAGCTAAAAGTCTCTACACATGATACATACAAGTAACTAAACAGCGAAGAACACCCTGAGTCAGTCAGATTTAAGGTAATCTGAACTTGTAAAGAGTATCCTCCATCAACTGAGCTATCATCAACTTATTTTATGGTTTGAGCTTTTCGCACCACAGACGAAAATTTACATTGCAAAGTCAACCGTTATTATTTAAATAGA